CTTTGAAACCTCAGATGAAAGTTCTTCGTCCCAATCTAATCCTTGCTGCCAGAGTCGTTGTAAACCGATTTTTGCACGGACCAGGAACGCAGCTGCGAATCCAATTGGATCAAATACACGAGCCACTTTACTAAGAATCTTTCTCTTCGTTAATTTCAACTCGCTTGAATTTTCTTGTGACGGTACAGATAGCTCATTAGCTTTACATTTAAACGTGAAAGCGTCCTTACTATTGTTCCAGACAACACCTAGAACCTTTTCTTCGGATTCACCTTCCAAAAACTTAACACTTGATCTTTCTTCAGACGGTAGATTTTCCTCTAGAATTTCGTTCGATAACCACTCTTTCACTTTAAAGCCTCCTTTATCTAAGATTTCGTCCAGATCTTTCGTCAGTTGCTGGGCACATTCGACATTGGGTACGGAATCACAAATATCATCCATGTACGTATTCTTTTTCAACACTTCGGCTGCATATGGATGAGCGTTTTTTGCTTGGTCTGCCGTCTTTCTCAATGCAATTTGTGCCATTGCCGGTGCTGGTTTGTCACCAAAGGTTAACACAGTTTTTACGTAAGTGTCTGGTGGTCTAGTTGTATCCATATCTCGCCACAAAAACCGATGTACATGCTGGTCTTCTTCCGGTATTCCAATTCTGTGATACATCTTTGATATATCTCCGCTTACAGCGACCGGTTGCTCTCTGAATCTGAGGATAACTCCCAACATGCTGTTCAAAAGGTCAGGACCTTTTATCCAACAATCGTTAAGACAGTGTCCCTTGTATCTTGCTGAAGAATTAAATACGATTCTTACTGGCGTGCTCTTCTTATCAGGTCGAACAACTTCATGGTGAGCTATATAGTGAACGGGACCTTTGTAATCATTTATTTCTCTTTCTATTAGCTTTCGCGAAAAGCCGAGATCTTCCATCTGCTCCATTTGTTCTTGATATGCTTTTGCATGCTGTAGATTCCCTTTCAATCGTTTTTCAGTTGCTTCCATCTTCTTCACAGCTTGTTCTCGGTTGTCGGGAAGGGTTTTGGGGTCAGTTTTCCAAGGGTACGCCATTTCCCATTTATTTCCAATTAGCTTGCATCCTTGCTCGATATCGATTAGTTTGGTTTCTTCTTGCTCGATCTTGCTCAACTTTGGCATTTCAATATTTGATTGACTAACTCCCATTGCTTCGCTCGTCCAAAAGTCAGTGAGATCTACAGGTCTTGTATACTGGACATGAAATATTCTACTGGTTTGCTGCAAGCCTGGTATCGCTCCAAAAATAATCCAACCAAGAGGTGAATGTCTCGCAACAACGTTACCAACTTTCTTTGTGTCTCCAGTATGCATATAAGCGTGATCAATCCCAATAAGCATATCGATTGGGCCACATTCTCGGTAAATTTTCACTTCAGGGATTCCAATTCCTTTTGCCATTTCACCAATATTGATATTTGAAATGTCATCGCTAATATGTGGAATTCCAACAGCTTTGACTGTGAACTTCGCACCAGACTCCAATGACGTAATGGGAACTTGATATACTTTTGTCGCCAACACTTCTTCTTCACCGCCCACTTTTCTAATAGTTATCGAAACATCCTTTCCCTTTAAATCCAAATTCTTTGCTGTACTTGTGCAAATCAGACTTATTTGTGCTCCAGAGTCAAGTAGAATGTTCCCTTGTTTGTGTCGATTGTTCTTTCCAGATATCTTCACTGTTATAACTGGCAGCATTGCTTCCGTGTTGTTTTCTACCGATGCTACGCCCACTGATGCTGCAGGATTTGAAGGATGCAAAAGAATATGATGATAATATTTACATTGAACGCCACTTATTTTCCGAGTACACTGCTTCCTTCTGCTACAGTTTGATGCTCTGTGGTCACGTCCGGCCTTCTTAAGACAACTGAAACAAGCGTGGTTTTCTCTTACTGTTTTCAAACGGTCCTCTGGACTCATGGACTTAAATTTTTCACATTGGTCTACCCAGCGCGTTGAATTGTCGCAGATCCAACACTTTGGTGGTTTTCCTCCAGATAGCTGATTGACATATCTCGAACCCTGACTCGGATTTCTCAGTGGAGCAGTTGCACGCATCCTCGACTTCATTTCCGTCTCCATCCAAGCAATGAGACCTTGTAAACTTGCTGGCTTTTCATTCCTTTCCAACTCACGAGCCCAAATCTTTCTATCTTCCACACACATTTTCTGTTCTATTAGTGATAACATGTGATTGTTATCCATATCATGGGGTTTTCCCACTCCCTTCATCGTATTGAAACTACGCTTTACTAAATGCACCAGATCACAAAAGCGTGAATCTTCTCCTTCTTTCAGGGGTCGGAACTTTGACAGATGTTGGGTTACTTGGTCCGACACATATCTGGGGTCTCCATAGATTGAGTCTAAATATTGCCATGCACCATCATAATCTGTACCAATTCCTTTGATAAGCTCTAGGGGTTTTCCCTGCAAGCATGCACGAAGGTAGGTCATTGCATCTCGTTTAGTGTATCTAGATTCAATAGCATGCTTAAAGTCATCTCGAAAAATACTGTACTCTCTGACATCACCACTAAATCGAGGCATTTTTGGCTTCTCCATTTTGAAACCACAAACAGGTTGAACATTTGAAATACTTTGGGCACCCTCACCAACCTCGTCCCCAGGGCCTATTGAGGAAGGAGGCGAAGCAGCAAAGGCCCTGGTAAAGGCTGGTCACGTGATGCTTCAAATTTTGAATATTTCAGAATATTTAACTTTTCAAACCGGGGGTGCAGGCCGCTTTGATTTTATCAAACATGGCCGTGCAAAGGGGCGATAGAAGCTTTTGCGACTGAAACTATGATGATAAACTTAATTTCAACTGACAGTGGAAATAAATATATAGTCTGCGATATTCTTTAAAAAAATATGGAATATAATCAACAGCAATACTTGTCGAAGAACAAGATTCAAAGAGAAGAGTCTAAACACTGACTGACAACAGTAAATATTTCTTTTCAGCTTGGAAGCGTCAAGCGTGTTTTATAATATTTGTCGTTTGGGAGTCAATAACATACTGTCAGTGAAGAATTTGATTTGGGACTTTGATATACCTTTCTGAAAAGATTACTACTGAATACAAATGTGCATGTAAAATGTGATTAGAACGTTTTAATATGAACAGTTTTACAGTTGCACTGTCATTGACTCAAGTCACTCAATATATTTTAATGTGGGACAAACATTAAAAAACATTAAAGTACTGTGCCAAGTGACAAAATTCCATGCCGACCATGGGTTACGTATGTATGCATTTTTATTAAACGTTTATACCAATATACATTATTTTAAACCTTTGTGTGTGAATTTTGTGTGTTGATTTTATGATATTTGACAACTATGAATATTAATAATATAATATGTTAACAGCAAGTTTACAGTATATTGTATAATACAAAAGCAATATTACTGATATTATCACAAGACTCAAGTACTGTACATGGTCTAATAGATGTTTCTTAGTCAGCAACTATGTTCTTTGACATTGTGGCAATCAGGTATTCTTGGGGCTTTTAGCTTGGTTTTTCACACTTTCACACCTTACCACTATTAATTCCTTGTAAACATTGTCAATTTACTCAAAATTGATCTAATATGATTGCCTCATTCTTCAACCACCCCCCCCAGTCAAATTTGAACCAAACTAACATACTCAAATGATTTAATCTCTAAACTTTACCCTTAAACTATTTTGAAGTGATTCTTGTACTTATTTATGTGTCAATGAATGCGGAAAAATGGCGAGGTATTCTATAAGCATTCCGGCATGTGTGTTTTTGAACCTTCACTGTTGAGAGAGCATGCCATGGGTCTCCCCAAATTATCTGAGCACTTCAACCAGACCACCAGCTGCCAAATGGCAACTACTATGCTCAGAGGTGTAACTTAACACTTGCCCGAGGCAAGTGAGTATCATGACGGGCAAGTAAAAGTTTCCTCTTGGTTGCCCGAACGGGCAAGTTGCTTTGCCACAAAAAGCTGGCCAGCTTTCAGTTTATATTATTATTGTCGGATAGAATAAAGGCTGTTCGACGACATTGGTTCAAGCTGGCAAATCATCTGCATCAAATTCATATAAATTGTTTGATTATATTATGCATTGATTCTCTTTTTGGTTATTAAATGTTTATTCATGATATGATAACGAAATATAGCAGAACTTAATTTATGGCAGGACTTAATTTGGGACTGTATTAGTCCTGTTGTATGTGCCTTCAATTTCTTATTGTAAAACTAATAAAAAAATAATGGTGATTAATGTTACATTAAATAAGTGTACTTGATTCAAATTTTGTTCAATATGTAAGCCAAAGCTAGATCTGAGGTAGTCTAGATCTGAGGCAGTAACATAGCCAATGCCACTAGTCCAATGAGTGGATATGTTGTCTCCCTAATTTATACTCGCCCGCATATGTACCCCATTGCCTGATGGCAAGTGGATTTTATTCATGGCAACCAATTTTCATGTCCAACTTGCCCTGAGGGCAAGTGGTCAAAAAAGTTAAGTTACACCACTGATGCTGTATACAAATTATATACCTGAAAGGTAACTTACATCATATTGTGCATTTAAATACTAATACTTGTATTCTCACAGTGTATTAAGGTATACAATTCAAATGCACTTGTGATGCCCAACGAATTGCCACAAAAAAACCCATAAACCACAAATCAGTCAATTTCAGTAAGTAGGGCACACTGGGCCACATTGCAGCTCAATGGGTTAACTAGAGACATTGTCAGATTTTGCCAGACTAGAGACATTGTCATAATTGCAAGAGGTCAGTACAGTCTGTAACAATAAGTAATTCAGGAATTCACACAATTCTCAATAGTTAAATGATTATCAGATTTCATGTTAAATGATTATCGGATAATGTTGAGCATCAAGAATATATGTATAATATCCTTCATACATTTATAACAATGTTCAGGCTAAATATCATAGTTATTATTTTGTGTACTATAGTTGTATCAGGTATAAAGATACGAGGTGAAGCCAAGTATCTTTAGGTCTGATAAAGCATACACTGCGAATGGTTTAAATTGCTCAACTGATGGTCACCAACAACAAATAGTACTTAATATTACAAGGCGGCAAAATGTATTTAAATTAAAAGAGATGAATAATCTTGTCACTTGATACATTTGACACCAGGTGTCTTGTATTTGTCCATAAGAGACCCCTTGTTATTGTATCATGTTTTGAGAATGAGTTCAATTTTGATATTTGTTGTTGATCTGAGCAAAATATTGATTATTTATTTGCCTACTAAGGCACACAGTATTGAACGGTCAATTGTGGTGAGTGATGCTGAACTGCCTGTTGTATGTTGTGAGTGATTTTGAGTGCCTGTTGTGATGAGTGACACCGAATTGCCCCAATTGTGGCTCAGGAAAAAATGTACCTGCTGACTTGTCAAATAATCTCCTTAAATAATGTTCTGGGAAGTAATTTGTGTAACTGATTACAAACAAAAACAAGGGCTTGTTAACAGTATGAGGAAATTAATTCCTTCTCATTATATTATTCAGCCTTGATAAAGCATATGGAGGCTTTCTGTCTGATTTGACCCTCATGCATGTAATTGTTTGGGAATGCCTTATCATTAAGATCACAACATTTGTTTTGAAGCTTGGCCTTTGAAATATCTAAACCCAAAGCACTATATGTGTGCTCACAATGTTCTTGGGATAAGAATGAAAATCAAATAAAATATTTCCACTCAATTAAATTCAGGAAATGTTAACATAACTAAATTCAGGAAATGCTAACATAAGCATTTAAATTCCAAGTGCATACGATGTTGACATTCCTTGTTTTTCAGACATTCTTTGGGTCTTGTACTCGCTTTAACTGTTAAATATGTATACTGTATAAAATACAAACAATAGATACTCCGAAAATTGAAAGCATTTTGAAAAATTTGTTTCATTTTATACTGTATGATATTGACATTTGCAAGAAAGATCTATTGTAGCATGCAACAATAACTATTAAATGTTTTGATGATCATGGATATGGTGTATTGAGAGTCCATATTATTAAATTAAAGTATTTTACATATCTGTTTCACAATCGAGGCAGCAATTTCCTTGCGACAGTAATTCGATCATAGTATAAATACTTCTATCGATCCATTCGTTTTTGTCTATTTAATAGATCTCCTTTACAGTTCAACCAAGGTTCTCAGAGCTAATTTGAAGACAATTTCAAATGTATTCAATATTTTTGGAAGAACTTTATTAACAGATTTTTTCATTTTCGGTGTTTATGCAATATTGACGAATATATTGTAGCTAAAGCAATCCGCGATCGCACCCCCCTGTATAGTATTTGCTCCGATATATCACGTGACAAAATAATCCAGAATTTGTGGATTATTTCACCAGCCTTTACCAGGGCCTTTGCTGCCCTTCGCCTCCTTCCTTAAAAGGCCCTGGGGACGAGGTTGCACCCTCACTTGAACTTGGACTATTGTGTTCTTGACCTTGGTGGGTTGGGGGTTGACCTTGGTGGGATGGGGTTTGACCTTGGTGGGATGGGGGTTGACCTTGGTGGGATGGGGGTTGACCTTGATGGGTTGGAGGTTGACCTTGGTGGGATGGGGTTTGACCTTGGTGGGATAGGGGTTGACCTTGGTGGGATGGGGGTTGACCTTGGTGGGATGGGGTTTGACCTTGGTGGGATAGGGGTTGACCTTGGTGGGTTGGGGGTTGACCTTCGTGGGTTGGGGGTTGACCTTCATGGGTTGGGGGTTGACCTTCGTGGGTTGGGGGTTGACCTTGGTGGGATGGACCTTCACCTTGGTGGGATGGGCCTTGACCAGACCCAGGGATACTGTCATGCTCTTGCTGCCCATTTTCACTAACTAAACCTGTTTCTGGGTTTGTTTCATTTTCAAACTGACCTTGTGACTTGACCTTTAAATAATCCTTTGTTCTGATCCTTATCTGCATAAACCTCTGTTGACAATCTTCAATCCATTCTTCCTCAGTTGCAAATTCTTCATCGCCATCCACCAACTGAATATATTCGTCGTGTTTTTCAACCAATTTCTTGTATAAATCTTCCAAATTAGCGAGTGATTCCTCAACTTCCGGTATAGGTCTCTCATTTTTAAATAAATAATCCAAGCCATTTCCTGCCCTTGTAACACTCGATTTTGCACATCTCCGCTTCTTTTTCGCTTCGTTTAACGCTTCCTTCGTTCCCTCCGTCATTTTCTGAATATCCTTTAAGCCCTGGTCAGCTAGAAATCGAATTTATGGCTCGCCAGAATCAGAAACGGTACGTAAAGTGACCACAAATAATTTCCAAATATCGTATAATAATCAGTTTTAGTTGTAGTAATAATAATAATAATATTCGATCTAAAAGTATAAATACAAGAATTATCTACTGAATAAAGTAAATTAGTTATGATAAACAACATGAACTTACTTCTTTGGCCTATATCACTTTACAATAACCAAATATAAACCTATTTCTGAACGTTAAACCTCGAGTAAACAGCTTAAAACCAACGTGTATATTTCCCGCTATTTTCTGTCACGTGACTGTGTCTGTTCAATGACGTAATTATTTATCTATTTTTAAATTAGCGAAACAGGTATCGAAGGAACTAGATTCTGTTCCGAAATATCACTTAAATAAATCGTAAATTATAGATTTGCACCATTACGTCTCCCGAAAAGGTCTTTTATTTTTTTAAAAAGTCCATCAAAATTGTCGATGCTGTTCATTTATTGTTGTCTTTTTTTTAAATACTATTCAAAGCTGTGTACAAAACTTTCTGCAGTATAGAGTACAGTAGTTTCACAAACCAAGAGAAATTTTTTTATAAAATTGTTTTTTTTTTTCAAATACTCCGGACTGTCACTTTGTACATTGCCTTTGCGTGACCTTTCCCCCTTTGCGTGACCTTGCCCCCTCAATATAGAGTAACTTAAGTTATCTGATTGGTTTGAAGCCAATATTAAGCTATCTTTAGATTTAAAGAAGTCAAATTATATTATTTTTAGACCACGGCAAAAGAGACAAATTACTAGTTTGCCGCTGTATATAAATGATCATGAACTACATCGCACAGATCATGTAGTTTTTCTTGGAGTGATCCTGGATGAACACTTGTCTTGGTCACTTCACGTTTCGCATATTGCCACTAAAATTTCTCGATCGGTTGGTATCATATTTCGAGCACGTTTTTGCCTCACCAAGGTAGCTCTACGTACACTATACTATGATGCACTTGTCTATCCTTATTTACAATATTGTACATGTGTAACAGTGTGGGGTTCAGCATACCCTTATAAATTAAATCGTCTCTTATTGCTCCAAAAAAGAGTGATTAGAATTATCAATAAGGTAGAATTTGATGCCCACACTGATCCATTATTTAAAGCCGGTAATCAAATATTTAAGTTCAAAGATATTTATTTTTACAATCTAGGGAAATTCATGTTTTTATACATAAATAATAGGCTTCCTAGAAACTTCGACAACCTGGTGTTACGAGTAAAACAGGTGCATGGTTATGGCTTGCGGAGAGCTGAATTGTTATATGTATACCATTGTGTAGAACTAAGTTACGTCAATTCTCTGTGTCCTATCAAGGTTCAAGTTTTTTTAATACACTGAGTAACGATATCCGTAATGCACCAACTCTTCAACAATTCCAATTCAAATTAAGAAACTTCTTATTCTCTCGACTATAACATGTTTTTAATACTTGGGTTTTAATACTCTAAAACCCAGATATGCCAAATTTAGTTAAGTCAAGTCTATCTGACTACTATAGCACAGCTGTGAATAAACTATTGTAATACTTTTATAAATGAGAAAGCCCATAACTCAACAAGCCTTATGGTTTCTATACTTGGGCTTCTTCGTCACATGCATCTTTCATCATGTTTGTCTTGTAAATAATTCCTTTTTTGTGGCAATTTAATAAATTAAATTGAACTGAAAAAATTTTTTACAAACGTACAATGCCATATAATAAAAAAAACTTATACTGACTGCAACCGTTCGGGCAGTACGGGAAAATATTATACCTCAAATTTAAATTGTCCAATAAAAAAACAGCATTTGTACCACGTGATAGTGTGATTTTTTTACGGTATTTCACTCAAATTCATGATTTCGCAATCCAACGTGGAATACTATAATATCCCACGGCAGATCCACCATGGGATATTATAGTATCCCACGCTCAAGCGCGACGCGTGGACACCACGCTCTGACACAATATGGCGTTCGCGAGCTGTTGTTTGTATTAATTTCGTACAGAACTACAGAAAATTTATTAAGTAAACCAAAGATTTCAACACGTATGTTACATTCAACGATCCAAAGGATACTTGCCCAATTATTTTAAGGAAAAAACGTCAAAAACTCAGGTATAGATAAGAAATTAAAAATTGTATTCGCGTAGTTAATATTCAGCAAGTTTTAAAGTTTATTCTGAACTTAATAGACTCTTAGTGAATTCTTTAACTTTCGGTATAATCATAGATAATGGAAGTAGGATGGATTGGAATGCCGGCATACATCAAAGGTCAATGTTCGCTCACGCGGAAATCTTTGCAAGTTGTGCAAAGATCATTTCCGGTTAAATTGTAGTTTACAGCGTGGTGCTTTATTTATGGCAGTATAAAGTGTATATCGTCGAATTTTATAACTAGTTCTTTTTCTATGCCAGGAGCAAATTGTTGTATAGTTGATTGTCCAACATATGCTTCAAAAACTAGGTATCC